TATATATATATATATATATATATATATATATATATATATATATATATATATATATATATAAATTTTATATTTTGTAAATAAAATAAGATTAAATAGTTAACATAAATAAATAAATAATTAATAAATATTTAAAATTAAATATTAAACTAAAAGATGTTAATTAGATATAGATATAAAATACTTAAAAGTATATTGACCGTATAATATATATCAAGAAATTGATTAGAAAAAAAAAATCTATTAATATGGAGTGTGGTTAACTAATAAATAATCAAATAAATAATAATTAATCATAAAAAAGGCACACGGAAGATGCTAATTATTTCATTTTTATTTTAAAGAATTTATAATTTATAGGGATAAGCCTTACACTAATTTGGAGTTAATAGTTAGAACTCGTATTGTTTTTGTTATATTAGTGTTACACGTTTTAAAATTTAAACAACAAAAATTATTAAGCGAGTGACCATAGATTGTAATAAAAAAGTTATATGTTCATCATTGTCATCTACAAAACTCGTAGTTGCTTTTCCGTCAATAAACATGAAACAAAAAAAAATGTATGATTCATCCACCGTGATTGGATATCACATACTTCAGAGCTATTGAATGGGGAATAATATACACAATGTATCAAGTTGTCAAACATGTCATGTGTTCAATGCACACGTTTTAAAATCAAAACCGTTAAAGCATAGCAAGCATGTGTCAGTCAAAGAGAAGATGACAATCTTCTTGATAATGATATGTCACGATCAACATTTTCTAGTGACGAGGTACATATTTTAACACTTGCATAAATAACACAATTTTCATGAAGTAGTGGATAAAATGAAGTTGCTTTTCTTGAAAGGTTATAGCATCAACAGCTTTTAATCTTATTCGAGACATTATAATGAGATTATTAGAGGTTCCAACGAGCTTTTAAGATAAATTGTAGTAGAATTAGAAGTGTCATCTTTGTCATTTAATTGTTATGTCACCTTCTAAATACAATATTGCATGGGCTCTCGGCACAAAAACTTTCCAGGGGGTCACCCGTCCTTGAATTGCTCTCGCCCGAGCACGCTTAACTGCAAAGTTCTTATGGGATCTGCTGCCCTCAAGGCTTTAAAACGCGTTGTGACAGAGAAGGTATCCACACCACTTATAAGGAAATGTTTCGTTCTCCTTCCAAGCCGATGTGGGATCAGGTGCAACCCACCTAACTTGTAATTCCCCAAATTACAACCCAAAATTTCCGATTAAAACTTTAAGTATTTATTTAATTTACAATTGAAAGATCTTAAAACATTTATCAGAGTATCATTAAAAGTTATCAAGTACACAAGTCCCCCATTGATGCGATGCAATCGAGTCGTGCCCCTCCTTTAATATAAGAAAACCTGAAACATGTAAACCATAAATCGTAAGCACAAAGCTCAGTGAGTTCCCCAAAATACCACACACAACACAACAAAAATAAACAACTATGGGTTATCAACAACCTTGGAGACTATCAGCAGCCCCAATGGGCTAATAGCACGCCCGATGGGTTATCAGCAACCCTGGAGACTATTAACAGTCTCAGTCACATATAAATAACATAACTCAACAATAACAACTAGACCCAGCTAATCATCAGAAATACAACTATTCTACCACACATGCTCATACAAACATGCGAGAGTCACAAAGACAACTAGCATCCTACATACATAATTTAGTGAGCCGACATTGGTGCATTCGACTCACGAGCACCGGGAGAAGACTCACCTGAATCGAAGAACCCTGAAACACTACGACACGATCCTTTTTTGCACTGCTTGCACCCGCAAATCCACTAATACCAGAACCAGATAAAATCTTATTTAATAGCCCAAAACCCTCAAGTTTGACCCAAGGTCAAACTTGGTCAAAAAGTCGACGGTCAACAGAAGTCAAAGTCAACAAGTCAAACTTCAGGTTGAGTACGCCCAACGTACTCAGCTCGTCTGCACGGCGTACTCACCATCTAGGGACGAGATCCTTATAAGTACGCGCAGTGTACCCAAAGGTACGCCCATCGTACTCGGCCAAAAGGCACTTTTCCATTAAGTGCTTAATCTCTTAAGCCCTTTCATCCAACACTTAGATCTAGTCCCACAACATCATTCTAAGTCATAAAGTTTCCACCTTTATGACTTTCCATGTCTAGAAAAAGCCCAAAAGCCAAAACCTTAACTTATTAATCCATTAAGACATCATGACTCTTTCATGGAAAGAATAAAAAGGATCCAGATCATATTTTTATGGATACTAATAGCTCCATAATGGATAAAGTTTCCAACTTTATCTATTAGAATGGTCAAAACCACCAAGATCTAGCCTTTAAGTATCAAAGGGGACCAAAAAATGCATATTTTTCAACTTAATCCATTAAGTCCATGTCTCCAACCTTCAGATCTGAATCACAATGATGTTTAGATGGATAAAGTTTCCAACTTTATCCATAACAAGGTCACAAACTTTCAAGATCTAAACTTTATGCACTAAAATGACCAAAAACTCATAAAATCCAAAACTAGCTAGATCTAACAAATGTATCATCAAGATTAAAAGTTTATACCTCTAGAAGATAGATCAAGGTGAACAAGGTCCAGATCTATAAGCTCCAATGCAACCAAAACTTCTCCAAGAAGTTCCTTCTTCTCCATGGTGCACCATGCAAACTCCAAAGCACTAAAAAAACACCTTCTTTTAGCTCACAAGGCTCAACTAGGGTTAGGGTTTCATGGAAGGGGTGTTGGAGAGGTGGAGGCTGAGAATAGAGTGGGTTTGGGGGAGTTATGGAGCTTAAATAAGTCTCAAACCACGAAAATAAGGTTTGGGCACTGATCGCGTACACCCAACGTACTCCTGGTACACCCAGTGTACTTATGGTGCCCCAGTACGCCCAACTTACACCCCTCTGTACGCCCAACGTACTAAACTTAACCCAAAACCGACCAAACTTCAAACGGTCATAACTTCTTCGTTCTAA